ATGCAATATTAAGCTCCAAAGACTGTCCCTTTTTTATCTTTTTTCCATAAGTTCTGAATAACATTAGCTAACAAATATGCTGAGCTCAAAACACATTTTTTCATTTTTTCTTTGGTATTTTTGCGGTTATTCAAAAAACGTGCTAAACTCGCAAGCTTGAATAATAAATACTTCGTTTTTTAACCGGACCAAAACTCGCTGAGTTATAAGTCAAAATGTTGTCGGTTTCTTGCTGTAAAAACTTGGATTTTGGTATTGGTTATCAATTTCGAAAAAGCAAGCGTAGTCCCACCCAATTTTCGAAATTCATAAAAAATCATAGTGGTTCAGCCCACTTTTAAAAATTTACAAAGAATTAAATATTTCACTTGAAGATAGCTAGTACATATAAATTTAGAAATCATTGAAATATCGCATGATTTCCATTTTTCCCAATTACATTTAGGTATGTATGCATGCTTATTGCCTGATTTTGCTCATCTCCAATACCGACGCTTTAAATTTGTCAATAATTTTCAGCAATATTTTTGGTTAAAGTAGGTGACGAACCTCTGGCATCAGGCCGCGTTGATAAAACAACAAAAAATATGAAAATTGTTGGTAAATTGCAGAAAACTTAAAAAATCTACAAAATTTCGGGACAAGTGGCTTAAAAGTAAGCGGTCTTTACAGTACATTGTCCCACTATTTCCCAAATTGGCGTTTATTTAGAATTAGTATTTATTATTTATGAAAAGGCAACAAAATATATATATATGGTAGCGACCCCTTTACATTATTTAAACATTTTTAAATTTTGATAAATGTCTAGATTTTGTACGAAAACAAAATTAAGCGGTGCTCCATACACAATTTATAAGTTTATATTTTAAGGATCACCTTCATGTTTGTGTATACAAACATATATGTACGTGTCACTAACTATATATGACTAATACTAAACTGTCATACATATTTATGAAACACTATTCCGGTCTATATTTAACTAAATTTAAGTGTCTAAATTTATGTAAATATGTATCTAAATGTTAGAAAAGCCTGCGAACGAGAGCCCATGCATGCACACAGTACAACGGTATAGTGATCTGTTCAGTTCCAACAATTTTTCTTTGATGCTCAGTTTACTATGCTCCTCACTTTTCAAAAATTTTCAAGGGTGCCAATATATTTGTTTTATATATTTTTCATTTTACGCTCGCTCTCTTCATTGCCCTTTAGCTATTTTAAACCCATTCTNTGTACATATGCATACATGCTTATTGCCTGATTTTGCTCATCTCCAATACCGACGCTTTAAATTTGTCAATAATTTTCAGCAATATTTTTGGTTAAAGTAGGTGACGAACCTCTGGCATCAGGCCGCGTTGATAAAACAACAAAAAATATGAAAATTGTTGGTAAATTGCAGAAAACTTAAAAAATCTACAAAATTTCGGGACAAATGGCTTAAAAGTAAGCGGTCTTTACAGTACATTGTCCCACTATTTCCCAAATTGGCGTTTATTTAGAATTCGTATTTATTATTTATGAAAAGGCAACAAAATATATATATATGGTAGCGACCCCTTTACATTATTTAAACATTTTTAAATTTTGATAAATGTCTAGATTTTGTACGAAAACAAAATTAAGCGGTGCTCCATACACAATTTATAAGTTTATATTTTAAGGATCACCTTCATGTTTGTGTATACAAACATATATGTACGTGTCACTAACTATATATGACTAATACTAAACTGTCATACATATTTATGAAACACTATTCCGGTCTATATTTAACTAAATTTAAGTGTCTAAATTTATGTAAATATGTATCTAAATGTTAGAAAAGCCTGCGAACGAGAGCCCATGCATGCACACAGTACAACGGTATAGTGATCTGTTCAGTTCCAACAATTTTTCTTTGATGCTCAGTTTACTATGCTCCTCACTTTTCAAAAATTTTCAAGGGTGCCAATATATTTGTTTTATATATTTTTCATTTTACGCTCGCTCTCTTCATTGCCCTTTAGCTATTTTAAACCCATTCTTCTTCTTGGATTCACGACATCTATTCTCATTCGTGTAGAATCGCACTAAGCCGCTCTTCGACGGCGACCTTTCGCGATTTCCACACAAATTCACACACAGCAATTACACACGCCACGCCCATGCCGCCCATTAGCACTACGAACACCCCGCCCACATTCGCCAAACCCAACTCATTAGCCGCTGATGAAGATTTCGAGGTCTCTACGCGACAACTACCACCGCCTCGCTTCTCTTTCCACCATTTCGTTTTCAGTATATGCAATTTGCCTTCTTCCTGTAGTTTGAGTATAACACCATTGATGGCGGTACGATAAGGGGAATCTGAAATGCAGCAGAGAATGTGTTAATTTTTGTGTGTGTAAAATGATGTTTAATATTTTATTAAAACGTGTTTTATTTTCCTTACTAGGTGGCGCTGCTATGCCATAGCCTTTGGTGTCCAACATGCCGCCCACCTGAGTTAGTTCACAATTGCGTTCGGTTACATATTCAATGGATGTTGATTCCATAAGAAAGGCGTATGAACCTGTAGCACGTGGTTCGATAAATACAATGTGTGTGTTTGATTTGTTGATTCGGCACTTACCTTTACCCTTGGCCACGCGATCCACACCTTCGGCATTGGTTGAGGTGAATACAGATGGTCGTGCGGATTCCATGAATGACCACATGCGTTGGTAGGTGGAGATTTTCGATTCCTGGTTAAAATATAAGTAGAATTTTAGGATAAGAAGAAAAAGTTGAAAAAGTTAATAAAAGGTGCATACAGGGCAATTGTCTTTCTACTTAACAAGACAAAGGCCATTCGTACGATAAATTGTCAATTGTGGCAACTATCTTCCGAAATACTAATTAAAAGATCCATTAAGAACTTAGAGTTTTTCTGTTTGTTTTTTAGCAATAACTTTTCAAAAAATTAAATGAAATTTAAAACAAAAATATATATTTTTTTAAACAATAAAAATTGAATATCAAAAGAAAATTAAATTAATAAAGAAAACCGGAAATGATGACCGTTCTACTTAGGAAAAAGGAAAACAGTTAAATTTCCAAAAAACGAGATCAATAAAATAAGTTTTTCAAAATTAAAAAAAATAAATAAATATTTGTATTCAAAGCAATAAAATCTAAAAATAACACATCAAAAAAGAAAAGAATGGTTAAAAAAAACTTTTTAAAAATTAAAAAAATAACAATTTTTGAGTGGTTAAAATTGTTAAGATTTAATTAAAAAATTAATTACACAAGTAAAACAAGTTCCTAAAAATGATTTGAAATTAAAAAAGAGCTTTTTTATTTTTAAAACAATAACATCTACAAATTTAAAAAAAATTATATTAACGAAAAAACACGAATTAAAAAATAAATGAAATTTAAGAAAAATATTTCCCCTTTTTAAAATAATAAATTCCAAAAATGAAATTAAAAAGAGAAAATATAATAAAAATAAAAAGGAACGTTTCTAAACATTAAATTAAGTTAAAAGGAATAATAATAAAACCTAAAAATTAAAAGAAAATTAATTTAAAAAAGAACAAAAAATTAAAAGGAAATTAAATGAAAAAGGAAAAAATTAGTTACATAAAAAAAAATCCGCTGATCGAGGACTCGGATCTCTCTTCTTCTCTTCTCTCTCTTCTGTCAATAGAGCTTTTCACCATTAAAGTTGGAAAGGTAGCTTTGGTTTTGTAAGACTTTCGTGCCAGAATAAACAAAGTTTTTCAAACTAGCTACTGCCTACGGTCTTTCAATTGTCTTACATTTTTAACTATCTTAGCCAGAATTACCCTTTAAAGCAGTGTTGGCCAGATAGAGATTCTTTTTTGAGCCAGTGGTATATGAATTATACAGAGAGCTTTTAAAGCTTACCACGCGTGCCTATGAAGTGGGCAAAGCCAAAAAAAAGCTTAAAAGAGCTTTGCCCCGCAGGCGAGGAGGTGCTCCTCAACGTTCTGAGGGCATGCAACCGTAGAGTAAGTTTAAGGCTGCTTATATGCTCTGAATTTCCACCCACAGAGCGTAGAGTCCGTGTCATCCCTTCGAAGGACCGCATAAAGGTCTCTTTCAGGAATTATAGCTTGTAGGGCATAATAAAGGATAACTTCGGTTGCAATCCGTCTGTAATGGCCCTCTTATGTATGGCGACTGGGGTCTAGTTGCTGTTCTAGTAGCCATGGCTACCAGTATCGTAATTTGTATTATGTATAGATATTAGTCTCAGTATACAGAAAAGCACAGAAAACATCCGAATTTACTTTTTTAACATGAACTTTTCCAAGTAATTGGCAACTTTGCTCCAATGTGTTGAATAATTTATGTGAACAAATAACAAAATCGTCGATAGCGGGAAACAGAAAATTCCGCCATACGTAATGCGAGTTTTAGTATATGGTTGCCCATCGACTATCAGTCGCCATACATAATAGGGCCATAAATTTAATAATGGGATCACTTATGGACGGTATTACGTCAAGATTAGGGGAACCAGCAAGATACCTAGAAACGGTAGTCAGTAATGATAGCCATATTGACTCTCTATGCAGCCAAAATAGCACTAGGCAACAGAGGAGGATTGCAGCAAAAGATTACACTCTGAATTAACTAGGTACTCACTCGAAAGAATGCTGCCGTACTGCCACCCTTAAGAGCACCATACTTGATTCGTGTCTGTTTAGCCAAATCCTCAGCACTCTCAATAGGGGAGTCCATCCGTTCAACAGTGAGAAACGCTGCTAAATTGGCTGTGTACGAGGAGATCATGATTAGGGTAAAGAACCACCATATGCCAGCTACCATGCGTGTTGACAGAGCTCTAGAAAAAGAAGAAAGCATAGCATTAAAAGATTTGCCAAATTTAGTAAAACAACTCGGCTTACTTCGGCAAGAAGTCACAACCTTGCTGCATTAACGAACCAATAGCAAACCACATGCAATTCATGAGAGTAAATTGGCTCTCGACCTTCTCGCCATGCGCATCCGCATATGCTGGCCATTCGTAGGGTGTGAAGCTAAAAAGATGGGAGAAAATCGAATAAAGCTGATCAAGAGATTATATGGACGTAATTAGGTCGGTCGCTGTGGTGTAGCGGTAAGCAGTGCGCGCTTCCACTCCGCAGCACCTCGGTTCAAACCCTGGTCAAAGCAACATCGAAAAAAAAACTGTAGGTCCCTCCGCTTTGTGTGACAACATCAAGGCGCACGCCACAAGTCGGAGGAGAAGCTCGGCCAAACACTAACATATGTGTAAGCGCCAAGCTATTATTATTATTATTATTTAATTCAATATTTACCGCGCCAAAATGAAAAGCAGCACTGAAACACCCAAATAAGCGGTGGCCATATAGATCCAAACATCCAGCGAAAGCGGCGAAAGAAATGAAAATAAGTTCGGCGGCTGCTTAACAGGTTTGCGATAGAGCACTGACACACCCAAGTTCATGAAGGGCATGGTGAAGTCTACCGCTTGTTCGCGCTCAAAAGTAATGGTGAGATCAGCGATAGCAAGATCGGCGCGTTGCTCCAACAGCTCGCGTATCATGCCATTCCATTCGCTAGAGTAAGAAATTATTTGCGTACTCTTTTTAAAACTACATCTTATTCATGAATAATTTACCCATTTTGCTTGTTAAAGCTGCCATAGTTGCCATCTGGCACTAGCTGAATTTTATAGTTGAAACCCAGCGCCTTTGAAATTTCATGTATCAGATCAACAACGTAACCTTCGAATTGATCGTTACCCGATAGCGGCACTGCCGATTCCTTTCGCATGCAATATGGATTACTCTGGAAAGAAAATATATTATATTTATAATAGAATGAAATTCTATTAACACCCACCAATATTGTTGTGATCGTCAGCGTTTTGTTCTTCAAGTTCGCTTCAATTTCGCGCTGTTTTTGGCTGTAGGTACGCGTAAAGTTGATACCCTCCGGTAATGTTGAGTTCCATGTGCCAATTTTGCGTATACCATTCGGTCCTAATTCAATAATATCCAACACGAAATCGGTGCGAAAGCCTTGATGATCAAATTTGATAACATTAGTTAGTCCCTTCATTTCGACGATCTTCATATAGTTGATTAAACTAAAACCATGCTGCCAGGTATTCTGTCCATCACAACTAATGGGATGTATGTCTATTTGCTGTGATGTATCCAAATCATGCAGCGCTTTAGAGAATAGATGTACTGCATCATACATGAGCGCTGTCTCCGCCCTCACCGTACTCAAATTAGCTGAGCGTTGTAAACCTTTATCGTCAAAACTCCACTGACGTACCACATCCGAGACGACTTTTTCGTTAATCAGACGAAATCCGGTTATATTCGTGCCACCATAACGGAATTCGTCTACGTTGATGGTATGCAGGTCGAGTGAAGTAATGAGATAGCTATGGTAATCGCTCATCATGCCAATCTGTTGAGCTTGCTTGAGTACTTCGTAAATTTTATCGGTGGAACAGTCGAGTACGATGTGCGCTTCGGCGGAGTTTTTGATTTGTTTGAGCAGTGGTCTGTGCAAATGAGGCGTGTGCGAGTGGTAAAAAGTAAAAATGGATTTGATTCTAGAGATTTAGTAAGTATTTTGCAAGAAATTAAACATGACATAGAAATATACAATTAATAAGGTTAGCTTTAAAAATTTTGGACTTGTAAAGTTCTTGTATAGGAGATTTCTGCCAAGAGTAAAAGGAATACTGTTCAAGTTAGTGTAAGTACAGCCTAACTTCTATAAATCGAACTTGTATAAGTTGCGGTTCTGTAACTCGAGCTACGTTTGTAAATCGGGTAGTAGAAGTGGTAACTCCAATTTTTAAATTCGAATGAAATTGGAGTTCTGTAACAAACGTTCCGGAAAAAGCCTCAAACATACTCGTATCTCTCCGTTTTCATACATCAGTATTTTATGGTTTTTAAGAGCAAAAATTTAATCGTAAATTGAAGAAAGTAAATTTACCAGCAAAATTTAGGAAAATTATACATTTTATGAAGATACAAAAATAAAAAATATAAATAATTTTTAATTAAATACTGCGTTTTTTCGATTTCATTTTAAGTAATTGTTAGTAGAGTTTTCTATTTAAATTTTAAGGCTAAAAAACTAAATGACATATGAGCAACTTACCTATTAGTATAGTGGGAAGGAATTACATTTTTTTGTACGAAGTATGACTCATACGTCAAGATGTTTTTCTGCTGCAGAAAATGTTTTTATGGGACATTTTAAAACACGTTACCTCTCAAGGGCTAGTGATAAGGATTCTGACTGGCCATTGTGTGAATTTCGACTGATCCTTTTGTATCAGCTGTCAAGAGGAAGATGAAGTGGAATCATCTCCACACTTTCTTTTAGACTGTCCAACCTTCGCGAGGCTAAGAAGGAAGCATTTTGGCTCGCACTTCTGAACAAAACGCTGAGCTCTCAGGGACCGAAATAAGCCGCATTCGAAATTTCGTAATCGGCTCGCGGCATTAACTTAACCTAATCTAAACTGTACTTCTTTGAGCTATGAAATAGTTGGTCACATTAAGTATGAGCAGCAAAGTTGGTTGCTCATACGCCACGTATCCCCGCGTTTGATCGAATTTAATAAGAAAACAATAGCAATCGATAACGCGAAAGTGATTACTCGCAATGTAGGACTGACATTGGCTGCATTTCTTTATTCATTCTGAACGTTTGGCAAAGATAATGTGCGATGCTATCCACCTCTACATCGTCTCTGCAGCTGCGACAAAAACCCTTGGTGGAGTATCCTAATTATTTTTCATGTGTGCCCATAAGGCAGAAAAGCAGATTAGCCGAGTGAGAGCTACGCTTTACATCAAACTTTGGCCGCGATGACTTCAGCCTTTAGTGTGTTTGCAGGAGATTAAAAGCATGCACGCATTTTGAGCAGAATTGACTTCCGTCCCTCTTTTTGCCTGCTCGTAGGCTAAGCAGTTGCCAGGATTGTTCCAGTGTCCAGGGAAGCATAAAACAGTCAAGGAGCATTTTGATGCCAGCACGTTTAGAGTCTTCCTGCATTCTATGGCTACTTTGTATGTTGTGCCCATTGATTTGAGAGATATGATAAAAGTCTGGTTGTCAGAATAAAAAGCGATAGGCCGTCTGGGAGGGACGGAGGTTGGGAGCCTCCGAGCGGCCTCAATTATGGCGTTTATCTCTGCTTGAAAAACGCTACAATGCTCCGGTAAGCGAAAACTGAGGTTTAGCCCGAGCTCGTCAGAGTAAATAATGCTACCCACTTTTTTTGTTAAGCTCGGAACCATCTGTATACATATATAGCCATCGACCCTGGATTTAAGCCTGTGGCTCCTTCCCATTCGTTCCTCTCTGTGATTCGTATGGAGAATTTGTTGTATAAACAGAGTAGATGAGTGGTATAATGTAACTGTCGAAGATTATGCGGTAGAGTTTCAAGTACTTTTGCATGTCCGAATCTGAGGTCTAGCCACGGCTGGCTTGTAATTAACCTGGCCATACTGCCGCCGGCCCAAAATTTCCCATAGAGATCCAGAGGTGGAAGATTTAACATTATTTGGCGGGTATTTATGGGCAGTGCTGCCGTGACGAGCTGTGCAGCAGAGGCACTTGTTCCACCGGGATAGAGCAGATCACCAAAGCCTGACCCCGTATAAAATCATTGATCTTTTCACAGGTGAGTACATTCAGTGCTTTATATGCAGTTTTATACCCCATTTTGCCTATATCTGTCTTACAGGCATACAGGGCGGTATTGACCTTCCTGGAGTGGGCTTCAATGTTATGCTTCCAGGCAAGTTTCTTGTCTAGAAAAACTCCAATTATTTAAACTCGGTTGCGAGAGTAAGTAACACCCTGTTTAGGATGGAAGGTTTAAATAAAGGAATTTTATACTTCCTTGTGAAAAGTACCGTATCGGTTTTGATAGAATTGATATTTAGTCCACATTCCTTGGACCATATGTTTGCCTTTGCAAAACTGAGTGCATTTTGCAATAACTCACTCAGGGCCTGAAGATGTTTGCCCGTTGCTACGATTGCTACGCCATCAGCGGGAGACTTGTAGTTACAAACACCTCTACAATAAGCTTTTCTATAGCAATCACTTCTCTGTCCCCACTCGCCTTAAATTTCGCAGAATGTTTTTAGCTTGCAAAATGACAAGGTTTGGACATTAGAGTGGGTCGCAAAAAACGTGTATAAAATCAGCCAAGGGTGTTTGTGTCACAAATTTTTCCCCTTAGTCACGCCTAAAAAACGCTCTACATGTAGTTGTAAGGACCACAGACAAATAAATACATTACCAGTGGCACATCCTTGGAGCCTTCGTTAACAATCACCCAATTTCTTGTCAAGCTTGACATATCTGATTTTTTATATTCATGTGGATTGAACGGATGCTAAGCAATATTGTTAGTACATATATAATATTAACCAACATTTCAAAACCCTATGCCGGTATGCAATTAGGGGCACTCCCCAAGGGCTAGTTCTATTGCCGAGACTCTGTGTGGTGACATTGAACGACATCCTAGTAGAACTCACAAATGAAGGAGTGAAGGTCGTGAAGTCGTATATGCAAATGATCGTGGCAGTGTTGGATCTCTTTCCCTCAACGATTATCAACGAAATGTTAGAGGGAGCACGGTTTAGGTTATACACGTGGCATCGAAAAGTCGCTTTTTTTCTGTCAATCAGAGCACAACGGAACTGATGTTGTTTACCAACCAAATGAACCAAATATCTACAACTCAGACTCTCTTATTTCTTTCAATGGGACGACTGTTGCCTTATCTTCGTACGCTTAGTATCTGCGCGTTGTATATGTTAGATACCAAACAGACGATATATCTAACTTTGCTGGCATTTTCTAACCGTAAGTGTTGGAAAGACTATAAAAGACATACATTTTAACACACAGCCAAGCAGCACTTCTACCACTTTTTATTTGTAAAACGCTTTCAATCGCAAAAATTTATTTTGTATGGGATGAGTCCGCATTATACGCGCACCTCAGCTCAGACCATAAAATTTTTTTTAATCAGTGGCTGACAGGCTCTAATCCCGCTACATAAAATACAGTAGGGAAAACACTGGTGGATGGGGTGGAAACGCGTAGGGAAGAATTGAATAAAATGTATGACTTAAAACTTGTTATTAATATTCCTATATGAGTTTTAGCACTGCGGTAGCGAAAGTAAAAATATTTAGCTACACATACCTGCGTAAAGCAAAGTGAAACAAAAAAGAATTCACTTACCTGTAATCCCCTGAATAACTCAATTGCCGCACTGTAATCGGATACGGTGAGTTATCATGCGCCTTGAGTAACTCCTGTAACCGTACAATGCCATCATTGTTCTCGTATATAATCGTGAATGTTTTCCATTCCCAATACTTGACGATATCCACGTAAGCCTGTGTGGCAAAAGTTAAAACAATGTACAGCGAAGCCGATTAATGGCAAGTTAAGCTTACAAAATGATTTCAAGTGGTTTAAACATAGCCAAATATGTGGTGAATGCATCTACATATGTCCGTATGCACATAAATGTACGTACCTTAGCAAGTGTATTTGGATGTGGATATAAGTTCACTAGACAGCTTTCACGTCGCAAACGGTAATCCCAGCGATTCTCCAAATGAGGTATCTACAGCAGCAGAAAAATTATATTTAAAAACTACGGAAGTGCTGCCATGATGCAAGCAAATCTGCGGAAATTGCATGTGTGTCTGTACATGAATGTTATTGAGTGAGTGTAACAATGCTAGCGCGTAATGCTTGTGTGTGCAATAGTAGTTACTCTAAATGTTAATCCTTATATATAAGTTTGTATACCTCCATATTGTCGCAGATACTTTGGACATGGCTGGCGGTGTTTGAAGATTGTGGCCCGAATATAGCTGCTACGCCAATATTCAACAAGCCGCAAACTGTAGCGAATGGGTAAGCAAACAAAAGTCCAAAACAAGTTAGTATACTCAGAGTGCAGATGAAAAATCAGATTTAAATACATACATATTTAAAACAATGTTTGTATGTTGACATTAGGGCGGGTCAATTGTTCTCGAGTATGCTACGAACAAAATGTTAAAATTTTCACTGTTGTGCCCTCTGGTGAAAGTTTTAAGAAAAGGTTAATGCAGAAATGGATTCATCATACTAGTTAGAAAACCCCTTTTAGCATGTTTTGTATAATACTAATTTGACCTCACCCGCTTCGCTGAGTGTATGAAATTTCTTCGTGTTACAATAGTTAGGTGTAATTTATTTTAATTAAACTTAGCATATATCCACTCAGCAAAAAAGAGATTTTGATATTTTTTAAGCCCCCTTAAAAATATTTTAAAACTAAAATCTTCTCTTTCATTTAATACCCATATTGTTTACAGCATTTTATTTATCTACCTAATTCTCTTAACTCAAGTTGAATTTAATTTCTCAAGCCTGTGGCAACACTCCGTCATGTAGTTAAGAAATACAAGTTTTTAAAACTATTTCGATAGATACCTATATTTTAATAACTTATTTAACTTATTAAAAAATAAAATAATTTTAATTGAACTTTCTCAACAGGTGGCAACCCTCTTCAAAATATTTTCAAACTACATACAAACTTCTTTAAACTCCTCGTTATCTTCTCACCAGTACGCTATCACAAATACTTCCATAGGTATGCAGTATGAAAAATTCTCTTTGTATGGCAGGTGCCACTCCCACTTGTCTACTCGAGATGAAAATTTGCTTAGAATTACGCGTAGAATCCTTTTGTGCTATAAGCGCATAGTCGAAAAAATCGCCCATACAAACTGGTCCGCCCTAGTATACATACATACATATGTATGCAATTACACAAATAAATAAAAGAACGAAAATAGTGGGCTGAAAAATGGCGGCAAAACTGTTGATAATAACCGTTATTCGTTTGCTTTAATGGCGTGGTATACGAGATTTAACAGCTCTCTTGTGCCATTTCCCTCTGATCCCAACATTATGCGCTTTGTACTTTTCTTTACGTGTCATTTCCATAGCTAAATAGTATGGCAAATGCGCTACGCAAACACAAAAATATGCTTTGCCATTTTATTGACTTACTTTGCTTTAGCTCTGCTGTCTGAGTAGATTCCATCTTCGGCTTACATCCAACAGGGACTATTAAGTATTGTTGCTATTCTCATTCTTATTTTCAATTATACGTCTACTGTCGTTTTTTGTTTTTTCGTGGAGAAAAAACGGAAGATATTCGTGTTCGCCAACTGAGCTTTATCGCGAACAAACCAGTTCACGCTGTGATTGAGTTGGTAGTGTGAAAGGTGAACATTTTTTAAACCGATTATCTTTCCTACCACCAGACAGCATAAAGCATGGCGATATTGTTTTTATTTTCTTATTTCCAGAAATGTGGAGATGATGCAAATTTGACAATGTGTAAAAATAAAAACAGGTTCAGAATAAACTCTCTGAAATGATGTGCGCCAATACTTTGGAATTTGGCTTGATGAATATATGCCCTGAATATTAGCAAATAAGGGAATTTTGCCAAATCGTCAAGAAGGGTAATCCCGCAGTTGGCACCAGGTTTAGCGGGATATGCTTTCTCAACTTAGCGTATACGCTTTCATCGGAGGTTATGTATGAACGACTGCCGCAGCTATAATGGAGATCTCCTTTGATCCTGTAAAATAGGAGGTAACTGCGGGCTCACCATCTGACATGGTAATATCATATTAAGACTATTGCGTCAAGAATCGCCCGCGCATAAGAAATCGAATACGTTATTGATGGTTTAGGATTTAAAATTAGCGTTGAAAACGAGTGGAACCGAGAAATAAAAGCACGTCTATTCCGAGTTTTTTATCCAAAAAGAAGAGAGAGAGAGAGAGAGAGATACTTTATTTCAGGGGCCAAAAAGTTATCTCGAATTTACACATTGAAAACCTTGCCCAAATTCTAAAATTTAACGAAAACCTTGTTTCATAAAAGTCATTAGATGAAAAATAGTTTTATGTTTTTTGACAAAAACGGAGTTGGAGAATAAGATAAAGATGATGAAAATAGAAGAGGAGGAGTGAAATAACTGTTATCAAACAATGTAAAAATAAACCTTGGGTAATAACTGTTATCAAGCAACCTAAAAAATAAACGTTGGGAAATAACTCTTATTATCTTATTTTATTTCTCCTGCATAACAGTTATCAGGCAACCTAAAAAGTAAACGTTGGGTTATAACTCATATCGTCGAAATAAAAAAATTTTCTCATCTAATAACTGTTATGGAACAACGTTTTTCCGAAAAAAACTTATAACTGTTATGTCCCTGCTCTGTTTAACAAACATAAATTTAGCTGCAGTTTTTTAAATCTACTGTGAAAAACATACATACTTAATTTAGTGACTTTTAAAACGTTCACCACATTACGTCTCGTTCTCAATTACAACAGTTATACCGGCTTAAGCTCGGCTTCTCCGCCGATAGAGTTATTCCGTCTTAGCCAGAAAATGAAGACACTGTAAGATACTTGTCCGGCGTTCTCCATGCTTATCTTGCAGATATTGGACACTGATTTGATGGAAACTATTACAGGTAGTTTTCTATGGCTCTTTGGAATCTTTCACTTTATCAAAAGAAGCAAGTGCTTACAATAAATTAATGCGAAGGTTTGCACTTTAAAAAATTTACAAACTGTGCTTGGGCTTGTCTCCT